GTGGGGTGGGGGTGGGTAGCACTTAGGGCTGCAAGCGAGTCATTTTAACTCCCGGTACAGAACCTCCACCCTGCTCATGATCTGGGAGCAAAGGGAAAGGAAGTCCCCCAGCAGACGCAGCGCAGGTGGAAGCGGGCTCACCTTTGCATTGAAGTGGCCCTGGTCACAGGCCTTTGCCACGTTGTAGACGTACTGCCGACACGCCATCAGCCGCGTGTACATATCAGCCATTTTGCCCTGCATGAGCTGCATGTCGCAAAAGACGAGAGACATTAACATGAGTGAGGGAAAGACTATTTTCTGCACGACGGCTGGGGATCACCCGTTCCCCAAACTATCTCAGAGAAACTAGACGAATGAGAAGACTGGATTCAGCAGACGTGTATGAGGGAGCCGGAGGTTCTGTCAATTCACATGTCCCGAGATGTAAGCCGCAGTCCCTCATCCACCAACACTGGCCTCAGGTAAACAGGCTCAGAGATCCTTGCACCTTCTCACCACATCATTACATCATGCAGCCCCAGCACAAACTCCAGGCAACGTTCTCCATGCAAAGTCCTCCCATGACAAAGATCTTTGTCTTCTCATTTTTAAAGAGAAAAGCAAGATGACAAAAATTTCTAATTCCTTTTCTGCCTTACCTGAAAGTGGCCAATTTTCTGTCCAAATGCTTCTCTTACATGTAGGTATGGAATTGCATGGTCAAGAACAGCTTGCATGAGCCTAAGAAAAGCACAGACAAGCAGGAAAAGGAAAACAGCAGAACTATTAATAATAATTAAACCTTGGAAACACAAACTGAGGCAAAAAGGTTCTCATACCTGCAATGATACGCTGCTGTCTTCCTATAGCCCCTCTCAAACAATGCTAAGAATAAAATCCAAAGGTCCCATTTTTCTCCCCAGTGCTCTACATATTGCTCATTTGGGACATCTTGTGGTAGGGTCTTACCTTCTTCCGTCAGGGGACTGAGATGAAGAGTTGAAAAGCTTTCTTACAGCTGTAGCCAGGACAGTTTGTGCTGCCTTGTATGTCCAGAGGCCACCAGCTCGAGGACTACTGGACAATACTAGTACAAAATCGGGGAGCAAGGCAGATTTACCACCTCTGGAAATGTTTACGTCAGGACTAATGTTTTCAAAAGCATGCTCTGGAGGGTCTGTGCTACACTGGAAGGCAGACATTTGCAAACCTTCCTCCTGGCATTGCTTATTCTATCTCTTGCTGCTCAGAGGGTGTCCCACATAAATGCTTTTAAACTGGAAAAAAATCCTGCATGAAGAATGGAGAGGTGAGGAGAGCGAAAGGAAAAGGTGGTGCACACGCAGGGCAAGCCGTGGTGCCTGGGCGTGCCGAGCCGAGCACCCTCCAGCAGAAGTCCATTGGAGCAGCAAGCACCTACGACACAGCCGGAGTACCCAGCGGCTATGGGATCTCCCTGCTGCTGTCTCCTCTGCAGCTTGCCTCCTTGCCACATCTCTGACCCGGCCACCTCCTCACAGCCTTTCCTCTCAGAAGCTGCTCCAGTATCTCAGTTCTTCATCCAAGATGCATGCTACCGAGAGCCACAACCCCAGCTGGAGACCCACTGGGCTACCTGATCGTGAAGGATCCTTCTGGTCTTACGTCTATAAAAGATGATAAACCCTTACCCCAGTGGCCCACCAGACAGCACGAGTCTCTCCAGGTCCAATCCACTCATCAGAACGTAGACTCCTTTGCTCAGCGTCCCCAAGACATTTTCAGCTGCAACCAACAAAGGAAAGTGATTTACTTATGGGCAAAACCAAGATAAGCTGTTGTCTGAGGGCCTGTGTTCGCCACGGAAAGGATTCAAACTTTCAGTCCCATTCATCTTTCTTTTTGGCTTGAGACACAAGCATTCAGAATGAGCTAGACTGGCGCTGAGTTTTGATATATATACTTCCTACCACTGAAGCGTCTCTTCAATCCAACCAAAGCCAAAAAGGAAAAGGCAGTAAAGGGTTATAAAGTGCATCCACAATCGCTGCTATTCTCTTGCCTATTTTCTAAAGAGTAAGCTGCTCTCCAGAGATCTTCCAGCTCAGCATTTGTACTAACAAGAGCAGGAGACTGGGAGGACAAATTGCGAGCCCCCTTCACCATCCCATTAGTTTGTATCTAACCCAAACTGATAGCATTACCATCCGATGTCGACTGAGTGTGTATTTGAAATGAATGCAAATCCTGGTCTGATATGCTTAGTTCATCTCTCTGAGCATTCCCAATACAGGAACCAAAGCTTATGCAGGCAAGCAGTCAAAGCTCACTACTTATCGCACGTCGGAGTGATATATATTAGTCTTCTGAGATCGGAGAATATGAACAGTCTTTATGCCCCCTCCTGTGAGTGGGGCTGAAGAGAACATTGCAGTTGTTCTAAATAAACCTTTTTAAAAGACGAGAATTGTTTCTGTGAAAATGGAACAGGAGAATAGCCACATTAGATACTGGGCTGAGAAAAAAACCTCAAGAAGCCGTTTCACTTTGGGACAAACTACATGTTGATGTTAACAAGTATAAAAAGAGAAGCAGGAACAAAAGGCTCATCTCAGCAAGGCTGTACTCTTACAATCAGGAGAGAACTTAAAGTCTAACAATGGTGCTTTGTACATGGACAGAGATTATCCACTGATCATGCCATATAGGAGAACTGACATATACTTCAGGCTTTGATCGCAAGAGATCTGAGAGGTGCGATAGGCAAAGTGAAAATGAGACAGGACTTGGACACATGCAGATAGCCTCCTGAAATAAATTATCTGTTTTGCAGCAGCAGCAGCTCATGGACTGCGTCGTCTGCTGCTTATTGAAAAGCGTGTTGAGGTAGCATACAGAGAAGTGCAGCCTCTGCAGGGCCATCATCATGATATTGGAGTTAGGAAGAGGAACAATAAGAATGAAGCTTGGCTTTCAGAGAAACAGCTCAAAAGCCCCACAGACAAGGAAGAAAAACACTAATAGCAAACATTACTTTGGAGAACAGAACACAAACACCGGCATCAGTAATAATAAAGTGACAAAGCTGTTCATGAGTAATGACATCTCACAGCTAAAAAAAGACTGAATAGCCTTTCCTGTACGTACACTTTCCTGTACGTCCAGGGAAAAGCGATGGATAGGTATGTGGTGAGCTGAAGGACATGCGTGCTGACTGCACTGTGGGGGCAGACCTGCTGGCTGTGTATCGCAGCAAATAAAAAAAAAGTTGAAGCAACTTTTACCAACGCAACATGACTGAATGAATCCATGGACAACACTTACTATGACAAAAGCACCAGCCACTCAGTGGAGCATGGCTGACAGTGAAACCTGTGTATTTTCAAGTGGATGGAATTGCAGTGCTAGAGGACATCTTGATCCGAGAGAAACATCCTGCAGACATATGAAATGGCATCAAACTGGTTCAGCTTCCAAGGCAGAAGATCAGAAGCAGCATTAATGGCCAGAGTGCAAAGTGTGTTAACTTTCAACTCTGCAGTGATGTGCTTCTCCGAGCTATCAGAAAATGGAAGCCCCGTTACCATGAGAACATGCTGTTCCATACAGACGATTACCCAGGAGATGATCTGAAGACCTGGGCACTGGCCTTTCTGATTTCAGAGTGGAGGGATCCAATACAGTTAGAAATGTCAGATTTCAGCTGAAACTCTTCCACTTACTGCAAAGCAGCTTTTGCTGGTGTATGGGGAGCAGGAGTTACTTGCTCTGCAGCTATGCAATTAGGATTTTCATGAGTGCAGATATGGCAGCTCCTCTACTTGCTATATAGTGGCTGTAAATTTTGTATCAATAAAATAGCCACTGGAGTAACAAAGAACAGCCATTACCACAGCCCCTGCTGTACTAACTAATGGGGGAAAAGATGTCCATTTTCAGGCCCTGACTCCAAAAGAACTCAGAAATGTTACAGGCAAACCAAAAGTCTGTTGGATAGTCTCCAGTGATTTTGGAGAAAAAAACCTTCAAGGCAAATAAGCTCTCCAATATACAAGATGGGGAGCTTTAATGGAAGCAAACAAGTTTCTTTGGAAGCCTCACGTAGGCTCTGCAGAAGCTGCGGTTAAGAGTTAGGTCCATGAGGGTGAAACGGGAGTGATCTAACAAGGGATGTGCTGATTCACTGGAATCCAGCAGATTGCACTTTTCCAGTTTCACCAGCTCTGTTGAGGTTGCCAAAGAGCAGACAACCATCTGCAAAGCCCTCTAGGTCACAGTCTGAACATGCATGTAATTAGCGATCCAATTTATCTGATGAAGAAGACAGGAAACCACCACATGCACACTGCCACGATTTGAACCCAACTCACCAGGGATCTTGCAGTTTTCAAAGATCAGTTCACAGGTATTAGACCCTCTCATTCCCAGCTTATCGAGCTTCTGGGCTGTGCTGAAACCTGGCATCCCCTGCCAAGTCAAGACAGTAAAAATAAATTTCAAAACTCAATCCTGGCAGACTAAATAAAATCACTATAGGTCTGTGAAATTTCCCTGACCACCTGAACCAGAAGGGAGTCAAAGTGAACTGCCTACTCTGGGACCCAAAACAGGTGTACATGCAAGTGCAGAGGAAGCAAATGAGCAGAGAAACATGCACGTGTTGGGGCACAGATGAACTGAGTGCATCCATTTTCTAATGCACATAAATATTAAATAAATAAATAATTTGGACAGCTGCCAACACTGACACTCTTCTAGAGTAAGGGTTGCAAGCTTTGCCAGTAACTGAACAATGCTAATCACTCAGTCAGGTTAAGTCCATCAGAAGGTGTACTGACCTCTGAGATTTTTTACTTCCATTACCATTTATTTTATTACAGCTTCCTGTCTTCCTTTTGGTGACAGAGATGTGCACAGCATAGCCTCAAATAATTAAAGTGGAAGGAAAAAACCCAACAGATTCCTGTTTTCCAAGGGCTCCCTGCTGAA